GAGGGAAGGGGGGGGGGGGGGGCACTCTGTTTGCACAAGAATGACGAAGTTCTACGTTGCGCGTATGTTCCTCGAACTGAGCGACTTTCCTCCTTGTCGTCGATATTGTTGCCTTCGTCGTGTGCACCGCAATAATAATAATGATAATAATAATAATCTTTGCGTATACTCACAATGTCGCGTCGTTTTGTCGTAATCTATTGTTAGACTTATTAGCAATATTGTAAACGTTAGGAAAGCAATAATTTTTCCTCGATGATTATATATTACTTGATTCTCGATGTGGCCTTGACGATAATGAAAATCGAAGTGCGATTTTATTTCACAAAACGTGTTAGACTTTAACCGCATTTCATTTCTTTGATTAAGTAAGGTTATTCAATTAAGGTGATATCTACGAGCCCAACCAAGTCCACTAATGACCTGCAAGATTATTAATTGGCTCGTGCGTCTGCCGACCCACATTCGAAGTCCTGCTATTTTGTCGATGGCTGGCTAAAAACAAAACGATGATAAAAAGACACGTCGACTTACAGTAAGATTTTACTTCCTGATTGCGGTTTGATTTTCTTATTGCGTTCAAGCTTGTACTTTGATTTCTCCAATAGGACGCGCTAGGAGATTTTGCAGTGCATATACAAAAACATGGCAATTTATGCAAATATTTTTGTGCTTTTGTAAGATACAATGTACTCATAGGCGAGTGCGGTAACTTGTGAAATAAAAGGTGTTATCTATTCTTGTGACATAAGCTCCAGGAATTTATATCTTATTTGTAAATCCGTATTGTACAAAATATTTATATACATTGAAATTGTACCTAACAGCCAGAAAACGTCAAAAGCTACTCTCACGTCGCGTGCTATATTAAATTACATGTCTCCTACGTACGAAATGTCGAATGTCTCTCGAAAAAGAAAGGATAAAAAGCCGAGCATCTCCAAAAAAATGGTAAAAAAAGTCTGCATCTCATAATAATTAGCGAGCTGTGCCATTAGTAAAAGAAAAAAAAGCACCACAATAGAAACAGATTGACCAACAATTTAAAAAAATTGAATACGTTTCTCACTAGTATCGTTGACTGCTATATATATATATATGTTTTTCTTTAAATGAAATACTAGCAAAAATCTGAAAGTACCGGTACACGTCCACCCTTCACCATATCAGCAAGTATCCTCTTTGAAGCATGCACACAGCGTCAGCATCGGTACCAACGCCTTTAGTCCTCAGAGTTCGAAAAATCGGCGGGACTATTCGATGCGCAGCTAACTGTACATAAGTTTGGCTATGCATGGGCTAAATGCCGGAGGGGTCAGAGGAGAGGGAGGAGAAGGAAGAGGATGAGGGGAAGGAGGATGAGGTTAAGGAAGAGGAGGAGGAATAGTGGCAAGGAGGGAGGTGGTCATAGGAGTTGAAGGTGGGGAACCGAGAGTACAGGAGGGTTGCACTAGAGGAGGGATACTCGGAGGGTTGGCGGGAGGATCCTCCCTCCCAGGGATGGTCCCTGGTGTGGGGATCATACTGGGTTTGGGACGTGAGGGGTCGGTAGTATCACGAGTAGAAGTTGGTAATAGTGCTAGTAGTATTAGTAGTAGCAGTTACAGGAGTAGTAGTAGTAATAGTAGGAGTCATTCTCTGGAGGATGAGATGGCAGTGGCAGTGGCTCTGACGGAGTAGGGGAGGTAGAATTGGCGAGTGGGGAGGGGAGCGTAGGGTTGGATGCTAAGCAGGGGGGGGGCCAGAATTGGCCAGGAACCGTGGGGTGGGGATTGGGTCTCACCCCTCGCGTGCTTCTGCCCCTGCCCGAACCCTCCTCGATGACTCCCCTCCTCATTTCCCCAAGCGGCGTTGCCCCTCTCTTTAGAGGTTCCTATGAATTTTGCGACACTCAATAAAAAGTGGTTCCACGAGGTTAACATTTCGGTAACTATACCTCGGCTCTACCAACACACGCCCGAAAAACTGCATGGGAGAGGCGCAGCGAACCGCGCGCGAATCAAGTGCTTTGCCCAGTCGCGTTCCCAATCACTCTACGACTAGGTAGTCCCGGTGTCCAAAGCCCCGTGTCATCGCACGACCACAACTACGAACATACGACTGAGACGACTCGTTTCTGCGAGGACGAGTATATAACGAAAGGTGGATAAATATAAATATATATATACATATATGTATATATATATATAAAGTAAAAAAAATATTAATAGAAGTCGGTGAAGATCGATAGATCGTTTCTACGGGGCTTGGGATCCAGCATAGTAGGAAATAACCCCGGAAGATAAGATCGAGCACGGAAAGGATCCTTGTGTTACGATTACTATATAACGGACAGGTGGACGAAGGAGAGAATAAGGACGCGCGTGATAAGGACATCGCCATCGTGGAAACATACACGAGGTATCGAATCGTTTACCACGAGGTGCCACGGGGAGCCATCCGAACGTCCTTGGGGAGATAAAGGGCAAACACGTATAATTGATCCTACGACGTGGACTATCTGTGGGCGACCTAGACGACGTAGACGTGGACCTCGACCGAGGACGATTAGGTGTACCGCCAATAAAGTACAACGTAATAAATACGCGGAGCAGAAGTTAGCCGGGACTATAAAGGAGGGTTTCCGTGTGGTTTTCCGTTCATCTATAAGGATCCTCCCAGCTGTTCCTGCTGACATGGATGCACTACTGGATTCGCCTGCAGCTCACCTGCAGGACGAGAGCCGTCGTGAGGACTGAGACGAGTCCCCAAGGTACAAACTACGAAGGCACCACGCAGGACAAACGCGAGACACAACACGCTTCGATTCGCCGCCACGATCCAAGGTACGTCGTTCTACTGCGAATACGTGCTCGAGAGACCTCCGACCGTACGAGAGATCTATACTATACGTGTGCCAGTGGGTGATTGTGTGTCTGTGCGTCGCGATGCCGGCCGTCTGTTCTGCCGGCTAGACAAGCGCTAGACGAGGATTACACCAGGCAGACACGTTTACCTATATCCTTTCTAACATCGCGCACTCTCCATACAGATATCCCATCTGCTTCATCCATCGCTCTGAAGGTTTTCATAAACGTTTATCAGTCTACGTTAACCTAACCTAACTTTCATTCAATTAATAAATTTCGACTAATCTCTTCCTCCCTCACTCCCCCGTCACCCTCTATCGCTCACTCTCTCTCTCTCTTTTCTATCTTCACTCACTCTCTACATTTCGTCTGCGATGACTTGGCTTCGCTCCTTTGTCACTCGTTTACGATTTGCCAGCCTCCTTCACTTCGCACCAGAACATTCTCCATGGAGACCGTGACGCTCAGGAACGCACCTCTTATGTTAGACGGGCACGTTTGGCCTTGAGAAGCGACACGACTGAGGGATCAGGATTTTCGAGATATATTATTATTATTCGGCCTGTGTTGTGTATCTTCTTCCTATACGCATTTCTGTAGACGATGATAATTGTTTTGTGGGTACTCGTTATCCTTATAACAAATTAAACTGGAGAGAAAAAGAGGGGGGAGAGAGAGAAAATTGCACACATGGTGAGGTTCGCAGGAAACTTCGCGATGTTGCCTGCCTCTGTGTGTGTGTGTGTACGCGTGCGTGCGTGCGCGCGCGCGCGCGCGCGCGCGTGTGTGTGTGTGTGTGTGTGTGTATGGAGTAACCAGAGTAGCGGTGTGTGTGTGTGTACGCGTGCGGAGAGAGAGAAAATTGCACACATGGTGAGGTTCGCAGGAAACTTCGCGATGTTGCCTGCCTCTGTGTGTGTGTGTGTACGCGTGCGTGCGTGCGCGCGCGCGCGCGCGCGCGCGTGTGTGTGTGTGTGTGTGTGTGTATGGAGTAACCAGAGTAGCGAAGTAGAAGCATGAGTAGTAGAGTCCCGAGAGATATCTCCAATGCATTTTTAGGCAGTGCGCACTTAATGCCGACTCCGTGGAAAACATGGCATAGTATAAATAGATGCTTGCGGTGTAAGGAGAGTAGTTTATGCGGGCGAAAATAAAAATAGGTCTCGGATTCGGGCTCGCCAAAATGTACAAACGTATCCTTACGAGACAGGACTACTTGGTATGGAATTCGAAATTAGGATTAGGGTTTTAGAATTGATACTGATAGCACTGTGATAACCTTCTGGCATATAATAGATATAATATGTATATATATTTAATAAATATGTACGTCTATAAATACATAACGATTTTAGAACGAACTTATATGGAAGTAGCGAACAAGTAAGAATTCGTGTGAATCTATGGAAGAACAAGAGAACCAGACAGATGTTTGCCGGTTTTCCTACGCATTCGTCTACCGTCGCAATATTATTTTTTCAATTTTGTTTTCTTTTCTTTTCCTTTCTTTCTTCTACCCGTGACGCGTGGCCTCTATGTGCCGATTCCCATATACATACGTGCTTCTCTCCTTCTTTCTATTTCCCCTGGCGAATCCCTCTCTCCACTGTATGATACACACGGTCTTTCCACTGTGCCTCGTATAGTATACGTATATAGATATATGTATATATATATATATATATATATATATATATATATATATTGTATGTGCATGCACGGCACATACTAGCGGTTCTCCTGCGACGCAGAATCGTCGCACTATTGTAGCGTGCATAATGGCAACGTTATGAAGTAAAGAGCGCAAGACATCGGTACCGCGCCGAATCACGTATGAGGATTCTCATCAGAAGAGGTGAAAGATTTTAGAAAAAAAAATAAAAATATAAGATCGTGATTAATTAAAGATTTAAGGATAATCTTTATTGTTCTACTTATTATTAGACCGACGAGTCAATTACGCATCATTCATTTACATTTACAGGATTAGAAATGTCGCGGTTGGCCATTTGTAATATTAATGCTTTAAATAATTCCTTAATTGGATAAGTGCACGACAAGATTGAACATCGCAATCTTTGACGTTATACATACATACCTATACATTTGGCGTTGGTCTGTTTTGGAGACTATTTCATTTATGTGTTGGCTATTTTGAGAAAATGTAACAGTTTTGAGGTCTGCCCTCAAAGAATTTTAGCGTAGCAGCTGTTTTGAGGACCATAAAACGGGGTGTTACACCAAATTTGTTTAAATTTTTTCAATACTAACCACCCGGAGTTGTGATGGGTTAAGGTTTCGATAGATTAGGATAGGGTAGAATTCCAATGCTGTGTTCTTTCAAGGAAGTAGTCTTTTTTTAAACGTACCAGCTCGCTATTGTGAACCCCCCCTTATGTTTCCTGCCAAATATATATTGTATATATATATATATCTGCCACATGTACGTACAGAGATGTATTTACGGTGCGTTGCCAACGTTGCATATCCTTTGAAAGTTAGGCGCGACCATGCGCCGAGTGATGGGTAGCAGCGATCGTTTCTATGAAAGAGCGAAAGGCTGAATCGTGTAGTTTCTTGAAAAAATGTATAGTGTCCCGCTAGAATTCGTAATTGCCGATTAGATTAGACGCCTAGTAACTAGATTACGTTATCTCTGAAATTAGACTCCGCCCAGTGAACACATATTTCGAGGCTGTCGCCATGATCATTTGAATGACGCGAATGTCATTCGGAGCGAGGGACGTCGGCACTTGAATATATGACGGATCTTGCGATTCGACTATAAATCCTAGATAATCAGTCGTTCAATACTGTACATGCCTTAGTTTATTCTTTTACGGATATATAATAAGTAACGATCGTGACTAAATAATAAAATTAGACTGTTGTAAAATTATTACTGGAACTTAAATAATCGAGTGTATAAGTCGACAGAGTGAGAAAAAAGTTTGAAATTAGAAGAGACAAGTTCGGTAGGAATAGGTGATGCGAAGGTCAGAGGTTAGATCGCTTGAAGATAAAAAGGGTCAAAGGTATCAAGAAACAGAAGTGGGTCGGAAGGGTTAAGAAATTTTGTAACTCATGGTGTCTCCTCGATATTTTTTATCCTGTGGAAATCGCAAGGTCCAAGTTCCAGCCACGTGGTTTTCGAATTTCTCGAAAGACCTGCGCGTCCTATGTCGGCAGCTGGGGAGGGGGGATGGGTTGATAGAAGGGATGTCTGAGAGAGAGTCAAGAGAGGGCTGAAGAGGGTTTGAGAGTGGGGGAGCTAGAAGGAAAGAGATGAGAGGAAGAGAGAAGATTGTCATAAGTAGAGTGAGAGTAACTTGTTCTACGGCAGCTACGTCTTTGAGATCTAACTCCTCCCTCCCCCTTCTTGATATTATCCGTAACGCAAAAGATATTTTACCCTATTGTTTCATTTTTGTTTTACTTGCGATATTCATCTAGTACATTTCATATATATCCGGAATATCTTTGTTACGGGATAAATAAAGTAAAAGTAAAACCATAATTTGTTTTTCTCAAAATTAGTATCATTCAATTTTGTTCCACTTTACATTTTTTAATTTCGTCAGCTGAACGTATGATTCCAATGGCAGGAAGTTATGACGAACCGAGCATATGCAGGATATTTATGCAAGGGGCATGCGGTTCCTTGGTTAGTTCTTTGTTTCGTGGACGCACAGTGCATATACATACTCATACGTGTACAAGAATACGAGTGTACGTGGCACAGTGAAATGCGAATAGCAGTCAGTCGCGTGACGCAACTATGCACTGTCCATGCGAATTGACTCCCTTCACATCTGCATTTCGGTCCGGAGTGCAATTAAAAATACGTGCCCTGACCCATTTTCATTATTTTAAACCACGACAGTTTTAGAAGCTCCACGCTCACTGTCTTGGTTCTACATAATCATATTGATCCTTGGTGAAGGATCGCTTATCGATGATGACTTCCGGTTCGTTCCCACGTTTCCATATACGTATTTCTTGGTATAGCGTCTAGCGTGGTTCTACATATCCTTATGAATAGAAATACATAGCACGAACGACTCATCCCGATAGAAGGAATTGCCACTGAATTCTTTATTTCGTAAATTCTCCTGTGACTTTATCGCGAACACAGTATAACATTAATTCTATAGTTAAAAGAGATTTAAAAGAGGAATGATTCTCCCTGCTTTCCTTAATTTAAAAAAATTAGCAAAACCGCGAAGAGAAGGGCCTCGACGACTGTTATTGGACCGCTGTCATTTTGGGTCAGAGAAATGCTGGTTCGCCGTCTAGCGTACAGATGTCGCTGATGATTGCCAACTATGGTTAGATCAACGAAACTTTGAAGGATTAAATTTTTCGCATGATGAGCGCTGCATTTTAGCTGCCTTTAGAGAGATTGCCACCAAGAGAATAGGCAGTTGTTTGGCTGCCGTCGGGTTAGCCCAGGCGAGGTCAATGGCCACCAAATGTTTGTGAATGTGAGGGAGGGAGACGGGCGTGGGCCATGGTGCACTGGCCCGACACCCCCCTCTCTATCCCTCAAACCTCCAGCCAGTTGCGTGCGTAAAGTGCATTTCGACTCGTGTACCTACGCGTTGGGCTTAAACAGATATTCTTTATCGGTTCAATTTCGCTTTCCTGACTGCACGGCTAGCTTGTAGAACTGCATAGGGCAGACCGAGCGGGGAACTAGCTGGATGACTTGGTAATAGTCAGTCCCAAACAACTCCCCGATCACATTAGGGTAGACTGTGAAGAATTTATTAAAAGGAAAAAAAAGACGATGTTAAAGAAACTTTTATACTTGGTACATGTGTACTGCAGTGCTCGCAGGACAGTTTAGTATTTTTTTTTTACTTATTGAACAGAAAACAGATTTTTTCTTGTATCAAATTGGAACTGAAAAGATTAATAGGTATGATGGAGTGAAACATTTTTCTCATTTTAATGAATTAATCTTGTTGATAATA